CCGCCGGACAGGGTCCAACCCAACATAATGCACAGGCGCAAGGCATAATGTACCTTAGGTTGGTTGCATGTTGTGTTTTCTGGTCCTTGTTTGCACCAGCTCATCGCAGAGCTCCCTCTCTGTACTTGATTCGGTGGAAAAGCAGTCCGACAGAATCCTCGAGACGACGCATCCCTCCAGGACCACGGACACTACCACTGCAGCCTCTCAGGCAGGTTCTAAACCCTAAACCCTAAACCTGAAGCCCTAAGCCCCTAAACCCTAAACCCTGAACCCCATCCGTTGCTGGGGAAGGCTTCCAGTTGTCGGTGTTCCAGATCGAGCTCCCCCCTCCAATCCTTGAAACTTGAGACGCTCGTAAACCCTAAACCCTAAACCCTAAACCCTAAACCCTAAACCCTAAACCCTAAACCCTAAGCCCTAAACCCCCCAACCCCCAGGTGGTGGCACCTGGGAGACGTGGACCGTGCAGTCACCCGGCTGGGCAGCAGTCTATGTACAGCTCCGTCTGCATCGCTGCCTCTGCTATCCACACTGAAAGGCTGGTTGGGTTTAGGGTTTAGGGTTTAGGGTTTAGGGTTTAGGGTTTAGGGTTTAGGGTTTAGGGTTTAGGGTTTTGGGTTTAGGGTTCAGGGGTTCGTGGTTGGGGTTTAGGGTTTAGGGTTCAGGGTTGGCTCTGCAAGTGAGGCATTGTTGTTTCGGGTTTGTTGCGAACACGCATTTTCCTACAAGGGTTTAGGGTTTAGGGGAGTGTCTTGCTTTGCTGCAGTATGGGAGGCCTTTTGTTCTGGACTTGTGCCCTGAAGAGGGTTCCGGGTTGAGGGGTTTCAGGGTTTACAGTGCTTGCCCCAGCCAGCGCTTGCAGCACTCAGCATGTGACGACACAAACCCTAAATCCTAAACCCTAAACCCTAAACCCTAAACCCTAAGCCCTAATATAAACCCTAAACCCTAATTGAATGGCATAAGCCATCCAAGGAGGAGGTACTATTGCTGCGACCATTTCACGGCGGCGTGGATTGCAGAAGAGATCTTCAATTGACTTCGGGTTTAGGGTTTAGGGTTTTGGGTTTAGGGTTTAGGGTTAGGGTTTAGGGTTTAGGGTTTAGGGTTTAGGGTTTAGGGTTTAGGGTTTAGGGTTTAGGGTTTAGGGTTTAGGGTTTAGGGTTTAGAGTTTAGGGTTTAGGGTTTAGGGTTTAGGGTTTAGGACAGTCGACGGATGGTGAGGTGTAGCCAGCTTTCCATCAAGCCTCTTGCGCCCACGTGTTTGACAAGCACCAGCTCCCATCCTTGCGTCCTAAACCGCTTGATCCTAAAGAGTGAAGTGTATAAACCTTAAGCCCTATAGTGGAAGCCCTAAACCCAAAACCCTAAACCCCAAACCCCAAACCCTAAACCCGAACGCCCTAAACCCTAAACCCGAAATCCTAAACCCTAAACCCTAAACCCTAAACCCTAAACCCTAAACCCTAAACCCTAAACCCTAAACCCTAAACTCTAAACCCTAAACCCTAAACCCTAAACCCTAAACCCTAAACCCTAAACCCTAAACCCTTGAACCCTAAATCCGTCAACCCTTTGAACCCTTTTAAACACCAAGGTGGGCTGCGAGCATTGGGACTGCAACTACGCCGTGGACTCCGTAGACGTCGCACGGCTCAGACAGCCTAAACCCTAAACCCTAAACCCTAGACCCTAACCCTAAACCCTAAAGCCTAAACCCTAAACCCTAAACCCTAAACCCTAACTTCGAGAATCGCCCAACTGAGGCCTGGGATCCCTTCAAGAAGGACTACTGCTGTGACAAGGCAAGGGTTTAGGGTTTAGGGCTTACGTAGGGTTTCGGGTTTAGGGTTTAGGGTTTAGGGTCTAGGGTTTCGGGTTTAGGGTTTAGGGTTTAGGGTCTGGAGAGTCCCAGAGAGGGGCCCCTGGGAGTTGAAGAGTTCAGGGAGCAGTTGTTTTATATATAGATATATTATTATTATGAGTATGATGATTATTATTATAACTATTATTATTATTATTATTATTATTGCTTGCGTTTTTTGTGTTGGGGAGTTATTTAGAAAGTTTTCGGGAGCTTTGGGGTTAGTTCAGGGAGTTTCAACTAAGGAGCTTTAGGGAGTTTGAGAGTTTTCGGGGGGCGTTTAAAGTTTCGGGGAGTTTAGGCCAGGGACTTCGGGGGGTTTTGGGGGGATTTTGCGTTGTGGTGTGTTCTTTTCCTCCCTTGCTGTGTAATGACGTCGAACGGAAGAAGAAAGTGTACTAAATCCTAAACCGTGACAGGGTTTAGGGTTTAGGGTTTAGGGTTTAGGGTTTAGGGTTTAGGGTTTAGGGTTTAGGGTTTAGGGTCTCTGCGACTTGGTTGGGGACCCGTGTTGAAGCGGCACCTGAACCCTGCAACCGTTCGTTTGCAATGCGCGTGTCGTTCGGCGCGTCGAAACTTTGTTTTTCGAGTTCGGGGTTCTAGGGGTCTAGGGTCTAGGGTTTAGGGTTTAGGGTTTAGGGTTTAGGGTTTAGGGTTTAGGGTTTAGGGTTTAGGGTGAGAGCCCATTTGTGCCAAGATGGGGTAGGGCGACGCAGTAGAAACGGCCAAAGGCATGCGAGTTGTGCCGAGGGCCCAGCAGACCAAAACCTTAAACCCTACACCCCAAAACCCTGAAGCCTGAACCCCTAAACTCTAAACCCTAAACCCCAAACCCCAAACCCCAAACCCCAAACCCTAAACCCTAAACCCTAAACCCTAAACCCTAAACCCTAAACCCCTAGAACCCCGAAACCCTAAAGCCGCTTAAAACCATGGCCAGGCCGGCGTCGGCTGTGAGGACGACACTCAGCCAGAAGCGTCTCGGCTTAGCAGCAGGGTTTAGGGTTTAGGGTTTAGGGTTTAGGGTTCAGGGTTTAGGGTTTAGGGTTAGGATTTAGGGTTTGGGGTTTTTGAGCTTAGGATCCCGAGAGACCAGTGGCACTAGACTTGGGGTTTACCTTAACCGGGGCTTTAACTGTGCCGAGTTTAGGGTTTAGAGCCCAAACCCTCCACTAAACTTAAACCCTGAACCCTGAACCCTGAACCCTGAACCCTGAACCCTAAACCCTAAACCCTAAACCCTAAACCCTGAACCCCCCCAAACCCCCCTAAACCCCCGCAAAGACCCCCGCAAAGACCCCCAAAGAGCCTGGGCCGGGTACCGCTTCATCCCGCAAAAAGAAGGAAGAGCTCTTCGACTGCGACGCCGGGCTGCCCAAGTGGGAGAAGGGCTGGTCAGCACTGAAGAAAGGCCCTGGGTTTAGGGGGTTTGGGGTTTAGGGTTTAGGGTTTAGGGTTTAGGGTTTAGGGGTTTGGGGGAGTTTGGGGGGCTTACTGCAGGGGCTTTAGAGGGGCTGACATCACCTTAAGGTGGGCACGAAACCCTAGCCCCTAAACTCTAGTCTTTCTTACCCCTGGGTTGATGAGCGAGTTTCAGATGGGAAGGCAGCAGTTCATATAGAATTCCGTAACTGCAAGTATAAAGGGATACAGGGTGCCTAATGATTAGAAAGGTGGAACGACGCTTAACGACCAGTGCACACAAGCTTCTGACAGGCTACTGCTGCAAGTACAAGAACGTCGCATGCGACCCCTTCGACTGTGCAGCTTGGAAGCAGCGGTCCCTTGAAGATTCCGCGTGAGAATGAGGAGTCTCATCTTCACGGTACCCAAAGGAGGGTGCCATATTTTGGGAGTAAACTCTCCGGATGCTAGACTCGTCCTCGCCGTATCCAGCGGTGCCTTGAATGACATTGCGGCTTGCCGCTCTCAGGCATCTAACCCTTAACCCTAAACCCTTCACCATAAACCCTCAACCCTCAACCCTCAACCCTCAACCCTAAACCCTAAACCCTAAACCCTAAGCCCTAAGCCCTAAGCCCTAAGCCCTGCAGCCCAGGACTTCGAGGTCGAAGACTACAAGCAGAAGTGGTCGGGGACAAAGAAGCTCTGGTGACTCGTCACGACTTACGTCGTCTTTATCAGGGTTTAGGGTCCAGGGTTTGGGGTTTAGGGTTTAGGGCTAGGGTTTAGGGGCAGAGTCTAGATACCAATTCCTCAAGCTGACCGCCGACATGGGTTTCGATCCCTCGGACACCTCGATCAAGTCTCACAGCAATGTCGAGTGGAATCCGTACTCTCAACATTACTGGTGGTCGTGGTGGGTAGTGGTAGTGGTAGTGGTGGTGCTGGTGCTGGTGCTGTTGCTGTTGCTGGTAATGGTCGTGGTCGTCGTCGTCTAGTAGTAGGCTCACGGCCCGTAGAACGCCGTGGGCCGGAGCTGCCATTTGCGAATCTTGCTTCTGTGTTGGTCTGGCTGGCTGCTCTGCGGGGTAGCAGGGGGGGGGGGGGATAATCACGTGCATAAGTACGCGCGGACGCTGCGGGGCGTGTTGTCCGATACGCGATGTGGAATGAAAGCCGACAGGGTCGCTTGCCATGGAAGGTTCTGGTGTCACTTCGGCGAGCTCTCCTGGGCAGGTGGTTGAACCTTCAGTCGGCTTGCGTGTCGAACACTTTGATTCGAGCAGCGCATCAGGTTTATAAGTGCTCTTGCCGGGACGCAGTGCATCGACAGGAGCTGGGAAGGTCTTAAACAGTTCTTGCCGAAGCACTTGGTGCTCAAAGTCCAAGGCGCCCTCAATGAGGAGGTTCCAAAGACCGTGCACCAGTGGATGTGGCGTATGCATGTTTTCCACGAAGGCTACCTGAGCCCAGCAGACTTCCTCAACAAGCTGCGAACGATTGTGTGAAAATAGGCCTCGACGAAGTAGTTTCAGAGCGATGTTAAACACTACTTTTTCAGCGACATTCCTTGGAAACAGCACAAACGCACTGTAAAATCACTAATTTACGAGATGCCAATTCTTCGAATCCTACACGGCGTTTAACGGGCCGTGCACCTAGTAGTAGCAGCAGAATTAGCACTAGTAGGAGCCGATTGGTGGATGGCTAAGGTGCTGCCAGAAGAAGCATGTCGGCTGCGAACCTGACACGCCCGGCTTCGACTGCGTGGCTGGGTCTCACTTAAACCCTAAACCTTAAACCCTAAACCCTAAACCCTAAACCCTAAACCCTAAACCCTAAACCCTAAACCCTAAACCCTAAACCCTAAACCCTAGGTTCGGGGGCACTCGCAGGGCGTAGGGCTAAGGACCTTCAAAGCACCTGTAACGCACGAGCTTGAGCGAAGGTGGCTCGACCCCGGGTTGCCTCAGATAGGGTTTAGGGTTTAGGGTTTAGGGTTTAGGGTTTAGGGTTTAGGGTTTAGGGTTTAGGGTTTAGGGTTTAGGGGTTTAGGGTTTAGGGTTTAGGGTTTAGGGTTTAGGGTTTAGGGTTTAGGGTTTAGGGTTTAGGGTTTAGGGTTTAGGGTATTTGCAGCCTGCGCCCAGGATGCAGGATATGTCCGCTGGGAGAAGGGCTGGTCTGAGGCAAAGAAGACGCCCGGTCTGCATCTGGGCGGGTGGAATGAGTGTAGTACGAGAATGGTCATGAGTTTGGGTGTGAGTACAGGGTTTAGGGTTTAGGGTTTAGGGTTTAGGGTTTAGGGTTTAGGGTTTAGGGTTTAGGGTTTAGGGTTTAGGGGTACGAGTACGAGTACAAGTATGAACATGAATCTAGTGTATGGAGCAAGTCTTTAATCCCTGGATCTTCCTCATGGTGCCACTCGCTGCGAGGAGTTGGTGCTGCGAGAATGAGCAGCGCGCCTGTGACCAGTACAACTGACGCCCGGCAATTTTTTGGCTTTGTTCGAGCTGCCCTAAACCCTAAACTCCCTGAACCCTAAACCCTAAACCCCAAACCCTAAACCCTAAACCCGAAACCCTAAGCACTAAACCGCCCTGAACGGAATTGGTCTTACGAAGAGTGCCTTCCCAGGCGAGGAGGACTTCGCTGACCGCTACTTGAGCTGGAGCAAAGGCAAGCAGCAGTACTGCTGCCACAAGTACCAGTACGCCTGCGGTCATCACGGTCATGGCGGGAATCTCAGGCAAAAAAACGAAAAGAGAGAGAAAAAGAGACAGAGAGAGAGACAGAGTGAGGGAGAGATAGAAAGAGAGGGAGAGAGAGGGAGAGAGCACCGCTTCAAGCATAGTATGCACCAGGAATATCCTTCAATGAACGACAAATGAGAGCTTTGCGTAGGCTTTGCAAACGTACTCGGCTGGGCCTTCCGTAAAGATAGGCCGAACTAGCGCAGACCAGTAAGGTTACTATGGCGGGCACGGTGCCAAAAGCGAGTTCAGCCATATCGAGACCAGCAGTGGGGAACTGCCTCCGGACTTCAAAATGGAGGATGGCAAAATGGAGTACAGCAAGGGGGGCCACTTTGATTTCAGCAGCGGTGGCAAACTCCCTCCTGGATACCGCATGGAGGGCGACAACATCGTTTACGGTCATGGGAGCGACGCCATGTCCTTTCCAAAGGCAGACTTCCATTCAGAAGGAGGCCACTTCTTCTTCAGCGATTCCAACAAAGGAGGTGGATTTGGCAACCACATCGAGACCAGCAGTGGGGAACTGCCTCCGGACTTCAAAATGGAGGATGGCAAAATGGAGTACAGCAAGGGGGGCCACTTTGATTTCAGCAGCGGTGGCAATCTCCCTCCTGGGTACCGCATGGAGGGCGACAACATCGTTTACGGTCATGGGAGCGACGCCATGTCCTTTCCAAAGGCAGACTTCCATTCGGAAGGAGGCCACTTCTTCTTCAGCGATTCCAACAAAGGAGGTGGATTTGGCAACCACATCGAGCACATCGAGACCAGCAGTGGGGAACTGCCTCCGGGCTTCAAAATGGAGAACGGCAAGATGGAGTACAGCAAGGAGGGCCACTTTGACTTCAGCAGCGGTGGCAAACTCCCTCCTGGATACCACATGGAGGGCGACAACATCGTTTACGGTCATGGGAGCGGTGCCATGTCCTTCCCAGAGGCAGATTTCCATTCAGAAGGTGGCCACGTGGTCTTCACTCATACCAAGCATGTGATGTTCGGAGGTGGGAGCAGCAGCCATTCCATGCATGGTGGTGGCAGTAGCCACGGAGGCATTAGCCACGGCGGTAGTAGCCATGGTGGCAGTGGCCATGTCGGCAGTAGCCACGGTGGTAGTAGCCATGTCCAGAGTGGCAGTGGCCATGTTGGCAGTGGCCATGGTGGTAGCCACGCGGCGCATGTGGCTGCACCCGCCGGCACTCATGCCATGCATAGCCACGTTGAGACCCAAAGCGGAGCTTCTTTAGCCCTGCCGCCGGGCTTCAAGATGCAGGGTGAGAAGATGGTTTGGACTCAGGGCGGGCACTATGACTTCGATGGCGTGGACAAGCTCCCACCCGGCTACCGGTACCGAGGTTCCAACGTCGTCTACGGGCACGGAAGCCACGTAGTAGCTGAGTGAGCACACTTTACGCTTCTTGGGATGCTATAGTCCCCTATAGAACTGAAAGTGTACACTTTCTTGGGGGCTTATGAACTCAGCAACTAAGGCCATGAGGCAGACATCCCCGTTGACATGATCAAGACACATGGCTGAACGAGAGGCCATGTGCAGCGGCTCCTGGGAATTAGCAAAGTTTTTGTCGTTACAAAAACCCTAAGGCCTAAGCCCTAAGCCCTAAGCCCTAAACCCTAAACCCTAAACCCTAAACCCTAAACCCTGAACCCTGAACCCTAAACCCTAAACCCTAAACCCTTGACCCTTGAACATCCCAAGTTTATGGTTTAGCTCAGGCTCCTGCATGGCTTCGCTTGGAATCTCCGAGCTGAGCTCCTCGGCTCCATTTGGGTTTGGGGTTTCGGGTTTGGGGTTTAGGGTTTGGGGTTTAGGGTTTGGGGTTTAGGGTTTAGGGTTTAGGATTTGGGGTTTAGGGTTTAGGGTTTAGGAATTGGGGTTCAGGGTTTGGGGTTTAGCGTTTAGGGTTTAGGATTTGGGGTTTAGGGTTTAGGGTTTATAGGGTTTAGGGTTAAGGGCTAGGGTCGATGGACCCAGAGTGGAGAGGGTTTAGGGTTTAGGGTTTAGGAGTTTAGGATTTAGGGTGTAGTGTTTAGGGTTTAGGGTTTAGGGTTTAGGGTGTAGTGTTTAGGGTTTAGGGTTTAGGGTTTAGGGTTTAGGGTTTAGGGTTTAAAGGTTAGGGGTTAGGGTTCCCTTATACGCCCATTACACTAGACGATGGTGACTACTACTACGACAGCTGATCATTCGTTTATCTATATGATTGTTTTTGTTAAACCCTAAACCCTAAACCCTAAACCCTAAACCCTAAACCCTAAACCCTAAACCCTAAACCCTAAACCCTAAACCCTAAACCCTAAACCCTAAACCCTAAACCCTAAACCCTAAATTTAGGGTTTAGGGTTTAGGGTTTAGGGTTTAGGGTTTAGGGTTTAGGGTTTAGGGTTTAGGGTTTAGGGTTTAGAGTGTAGGGTTTAGGGTTTAGGGTTTAGGGCTTGAGGGTAGGTTTGTTTTTGGGCTGCTCTTGGGATTTATGGTGGCGTGTTCCCCCTTATACTAACAGTTCTTAAGAGGGATTATAATGGGGGAGACTATAATCCCAATTATTAAGGACTGTTAGTATAAAGGAGGAACAACCCTAAACCCGAAACCCTAAACCCTAAACCCTCAACCCTAGACCCTTAAGCCGTGAACATCCCAAGACTCATGACAGATCGTCAGGCCAGTCTCCTGGATGATCACATTTTTGGTGCGGATCTGTCACAAAGAAGCAGCACTCCGCAGCACTTCTGAGTGGTTTACCTCAGGCTCCGAGACTCTGGGGCAGCTGGGTTGGTTCTTGCAACCTCTACTTACTCTAAACCCTAAACCCTAAACCCTAAACCCTAAACCCTAAACCCTAAACCCTAAAACCTAAACGGAAAGAACTGTGGCACCGCCACGGCCCGAGAAGTAGGCCACACAAGGCCGCGAACGACAACCCGGCGCTGTAGACAGCGCTCCCTCATGGCGGGCTCCTTCTCATCGCCAGGTTTCATCTTCAGGGTTTAGAGTGCGGGTGGTTTAGGGTTTAGGTTTAGGGTTTAGGGTTTGGGGTTTAGGGTTTAGGGTTTAGGGTTTGGGGTTTGGGGTTTGGGGTGTTTAGGGTTTAGGGTTAGGGGTTTGGGGTCTAGGGTCAGTGTTCAACCCAAGCTTGACTGGGTTGCAAGGGATGTGGGCAGGAGCCTAAGAATTTACACGCTGGCGAGGTCCTGCCAAAGTGCTTGCCTGGCCACTAGCCAAGTCTTTTACCCCCGACGGATGCTTCGGGGTTCAGGGGTTCACAGGTTCAAGGGTTACAGGGGGTTTTAGGGTTTGGGGTTTAGGGTGTAGGGTTTAGGGCTTAGGGTTAAAGGGCTCAGGGATTGAGGGAGAGTCTAGAATCTAGATCTAGAGTCACCGAATATTCAGAGTCACATGATTTTTACACTAGTGGCCGCGATATTTCGGGGACTTGCTGGGAGAAATGGAGATCCCTGTTTCGGGCTCGTGAGTCTACGCTACCTTTGCTGGGCACCTGAGCATTCTGAGACGTTGGGGCCTGACTTGGCTATGCTTCTGAGGGAAGGAAGGGAAAGTGCAGCAGAACTGAGACCCTTTTTTCCGGTGTACTTTGATGCGCACCTTGGCGCGTTGCCCAAGATTTGAGATGCTTCACATGGCAAAGTCCACGGTTGGAGGAGGTTCAGAACCCCCCAAACTCCCAACGCAACGCGAGTAAACCCTAAACCCTAAACCTAAACCCTAAACCCTAAACCCTAAACCCTAAACCCTAAACCCTAAACCCTAAACCCTAGACCTTCAACCCATCGAAAGAGATGATGAAATCATCGCTGATGCCTTGAGAGACGTTTGATTTGAAGCCGCTTGCAGGGGGTGCGGGCTAAAGCCGCACTTCCCGCAAGCTTGAAGAGAGCGAAAGGATGGTTTAGGGTTTAGGGTTTCGGGTTTCGGGTTTAGGGTTTAGGGTTTAGGGTCTTTTCCCAGGGCTGCATTGACCCAAAATCGTAGCTTTTTGAGCGCGAGGGGAGTGTAGTGACGAGGTGGATGGTATTGCGAGACGCAGGGCCTTACGCAGAAGCAGGGCTTTCACGGCAAGTGAGGCAGCAGATGTGCTTGGGGTGAAAGCTACGAACGATACCTCGGATGCCTTGATTTAGGGTTTAGGGCTTAGGGTTCAGGGTTTGAGAATATCCCTGGGATTTTTTTGGTGTAATTAATCAAGAGGAAGAGTTCCGCCTGAAAGAATGGACTCGCGAGCAGTTGCACCAGCGCAGGACCCGGGGTCCTAGGTTTGTAGCAGTCGGATGTGAGCGACTTGCAGCGTCCACGGCTTGACCTTCCGGCTTGACCTTTGCTTTAGCCACAGTCATCACGAAGATGTTGCCTAAGCAATACCCCTGTCGCTCTGCTTTTCACACCCCTCTCAAGCACTCCGAGCTCACCCAAAGCCGATTCAGCCGAGACTCCGCTCAGATTAGATCCCTACCCGGCTAGCCCCTGCGTGCCAGCATGGCTTCCCCCGAGGGCGTGCAGCCACGCCAGGTTCCGAAGTCTTCAGGGTGTTCGGCGCGGCTTCAGGGTTTTGCGATGTAAGTTCGGAAGGGCTATGTGGCCCTGAGATGGAGAGAGATGCCAGGGTCGGAACAAGTATGTGCACAGTTGTCGGGAACAACTCATACTCATAATTCTCGTAGTTATAGGTGAGCAGAACCTACAGTCTCCTTAGGATTGTTTAGTTTTATTCATATAAAGCCCAAGAGGAATATGAAACACATAATGTTTTTATTATGGTTCCAAGGGGGTGTATAGGAACTTTGGCAGCGGGGTGCTCCACGACTGGATTCGAAGTGTAGGCATCCTCCTGATGAGAGGGAGGAGGAGGATGAGGAGGGCTGCTTGCACCTAAAACAGCAGTCCAAGAATCGTTGCCAGCCTTGTCCCCGTAAGAACCCAACATATTCAAACGACAGTGAAATTCCGGATGAACTCGCCAGCCACCGAAACCCTCAACCCTGAACCCTGAACCCGGAACCCTAAACTAAACCCTAAACCCTGAACCCTGAACCCTAAACCCCTTGTCAGGAACCCATGGAGCCGCTGGAGCGCGCGATAAGCCGCGCCGCCGTGCGCGAAAACTTAGCCCAGGCGAGCCGGAACCCTTTAAAACCTTAAAACCCGCCAAACCCCCAAAACCCTCAAAACCCCGCAAAACCCTCTAAGAACCTCCAAAACCCGTAAAACCCTAAATTTTAACCCCAGACCCTCAACCCTCAACCCTCAACCTTCAACCCTAAACTCTCACGCGCTTCCCAAGGGGCCTGAGGGGGGTGGTGAGGGGGATGGATGCGAAGCATGGCCATCCTCATTACAACATATGCCTCATGGGGTTGGGGGTGTACCGTTAGGGTTTAGGGTGCTCTAATGTCGGATCATGGGGACCTGGACGAGAAGGTGATTGTTGACAGTTAAGCCCGAAACCCTCCGGGCTTGGTGCCTGACCCCTAACCCTAAACCCTAGACCCTAGACCCTAGACCCTAGACCCTAGACCCTAGACCCTAGACCCTAGACCCTAGACCCTAGACCCAAACCCTAAAACCTAAACCCTATAAGTGCGAGGTGATGGACGTCACTTTGGCCCGCCATTCACGCATGGTGATGTGCATCTTGGACACGTCAGAGCCGCTTCGGTGAAGCGAGGTTCGCCGGGCACGACTGTTGAAGAAGAGGGTTTAGGGCTTAGGGTTTAGGGTTTAGGGTTAAATGACAGGCAGGATGTGATGCTCTCTTTAGGGCTGTGTTGCGCAGTTCCTCGCAGTAGCTTGTGCAAGGTATGGTGGTGATGCTTTTGACGGGGATGCTGCTGATCCTCTTCTGGCACCCTGGCCAAACGGAGCTCAGTTTATAGGGTTCTGAAGGGAGGGGGGTTCAAGGGGGTTATGTAACCCAAGGTTCCCTAATACTCCCTAAGGCTCCCTAAGCTTCCCTAAGGTTCCCTAGGCACCTACGCCCCCTTGAGCCCCCTCCCTTAAGAACCCTATACTCAATCCTGGCCTTTGAAGCCGAACTCGCGCCGGACTTGCCAGTGAGCGGTTTCGCAGAGTGCACCAGCTGCTACCAAACCCAAACCCGGAGCCCTAAACCCTCTCACTCCCTAGATGCGTAAGAAGAGAACCCCCCAACCCTAAACCCTAAACCCTAAACCCGAAACCCTAAACCCTAGAACGCTGTGATGGTTGTTACATCGATCTTGGCCTGCAGGTCCCAGATGGTCTTCTCCAGCCATGCACCCTGGCTCTGATAACAGAGCGAGAGAGAGAGCGAGAGAGAGAGAGAGAGACACGGAGGAGGCCTGAACACCGGGGCGGGCGAGGACGCCCGGGGGCTTGCCCCTCTTGCCCCCAAGAAAGAAAAAAGTGACAGAGAGAGAGAGAGAGAGAGAGAGACAGAGAGAGACAGAGAGAGACAGAGAGAGACAGAGAGAGACAGAGAGATACAGAGAGAGACAGAGAGATACAGAGAGATACAGAGAGATACAGAGAGATACAGAGAGATAGAGAGATAGAGACACAGAGAGATACAGAGAGATAGAGAGAGGGAGAAGCCCTATAAACCCAATAAACGCCATGAGCCCCTTAAACCTATCTCTCCCTCTTTAAAGCCCTTGTGAACCGTTGAGATCCTTTCAACCCGTCTTGCTTGTTTGCTTGTGTGGGAGGGGCCGCCAGAAACATGCCAGGGAAGCCCAGAAGAACGCCATATTTCGAAGAAGGGAGGCGTGCAAGAAGGCATCCAGCGAAGTCCTTCGTAGGATTTCAGGGGTTTAGGGTGTAGGGTCTAGGGTTTAGGGTTTAGGGTTTAGGCATGTCGGCTGACATACTCCCCTCTACCAAGGACCTTCGGTTGAGCTTCGACTCAGGCTTTCTTTGTTGGCCTCAACTGCCGAAGCCCTAAACCCCAATTCCTGCTAAACAACCCTTCAAACCCTTCAACAAGCCCCTCAAGCCCTTCAAACCCTTCAAACCCTCAGTCCATAAACCCTCAATCCATAAACCCTAAGCCCAAAACCCCTGTCCGCCTCCCCGGACTGGGAGGTTTTTGAACCACTGTACTTTCTAACTGTACTTCTAAGCATATTAAGGGGCTTACAAGCGGGTCATAACCCTAAACCCTAAACCCTAAACCCTAAACCCTAAACCCTAAACCCTAAACCCTAAACCCTAAACCCTAAACCCTAAACCCTAAACCCTAAACCCAAACCCTAAACCCAAAAAACCCTAAACCCTAAACCCTAAACCCTAAACCCTAAACCCTAAACCCTAAACCCTAAACCAATAAGTTCAGTTTTTATTGGTTAAGAAGTGCCACGAACCTCCAAGTAAGGAGTTCGACTCGTGTGACCAGCCCTTGGCGCTGATGATCAGGCCGGTTTCGGGGGTTTAGGGTTTAGGGTTAGGGTTCAGAGGTTTGGGGTTTAGGGTTTGGGGGTTTGGAGGGTTTAGGGTTTGGGGGTTTGGGGGTTTAGGGGCTTAGGGTTTAGGGTTTGAGGGGTTTAGGGGTTGAGGGGTTCAGGGTTTAAGGGGTTTAGGGTTTGAGGGGTTTCAGGTTTAGGGAGTGAGGGGGGTGCCTTCCTGCGCAGTAGCTGAGCCCAGGAAGAGTAGGGCTTAGGGTTGGTGTTTAGGGTTTAGGGTTTAGGGTTGAGGGTGTAGGGTTTAGGGTTTAGGTCTTTAGCATTTAGGGTTTTTTCTAGGACGTAGAGGAACCAGCTGGCTGCAGAGCAGCTGTCGAGGGCGTTTACGGCTTCGGAGTGAGGGGGATTGTACGGGTTATGAGTGTACAAGCCGCATTGAACCCTCCTAAACCCGATAAGCCGTATAAACCCTAGAAACCCTAAAAAAACCAGAAACCCTTTCAACCCTGTAAATCCTGTAAAGCACTATAAGCCTCAATAAGCCCTATACAAATCCAGATGCGTCAGTTGCTTGCAGACTTATCTCCCTAAACCCTAAACCCTAAACCCTAAACCCTAAACCCTAAACCCTAAACCCTAAACCCTAAACCCCAAACCCCAAACCCCAAACCCTAAACCCTAAACCTAAACCCTAAACCCTAAACCCTAAACAAACCCTAAACCCCCTAAACCCTAAAAACCCTAAACCCTAAACCCTAAACCCTAAACCCTAAACCCTAAACCCTAAACCCTAAACCCTAAACCCTAAACCCTAAACCCTAACCCTAAACCCTAAACCCTAAACCCTAAACCCTAAACCCTAACCCTAATCCCTAAACCCTAAACCCCTTAAGTCAGTTGCTTGCAGACTTATCTTCATCATCGTCATGGTCCAGACCATGCAGAAGGCTGCCGCCCAGTCGTGCATTGCCCCCCCCCCCCCCTTCAGCCATCCCCTAAACCCTACACCCTAAACCCTAAATCCTAAACCGTAAACCCTAAACCCTAAACCCTAAACCCTAAGCCCTAAGCCCGAAGCCCTAAACCCTAAACCTTAAACCCTAAACCATAAACCCTAAACCCTAAACTTTTAAACCTAAACCCTCAACTTTTAAACCTAAACCCTAAACCCTACATCCCTTTAGCCCTAAACCTTTGCTTTCGCGAGCCTGATCTTCGCAGTGTCCACGGCCTTCTAGTGGGTAAGATTCCTTCGAGGGGAGGGCAGGAGGTTCAGTTGAAGTTTTAGGGTTCCCTAAACCCGAAACCCTAAACCCTTAACCCCTAACCCTTAACCCTCAACGCTTAATACCCTAAAGCCAGGGGCTGTCAGAACTTCTCCTCGGAAGGCAATTTCTCGACATTGCCTGTGCTACGATGCGGTCGAGGCAGTCGCAGTTAAGTGCCTTCCTCTCCCCAAAATCCGCGTATCCTATACATAAACCCTAAACCCTAAACGCTGAACCCTCAAACCCTAAAGCCCTAAGCCCTAAACCCTAAACCCCAAACCCCAAACCCTAAACCCTAAACCCT